ATGACTCGAAGTTCTCAACCTGTTTGTGGACATATATTGGAATTTGACGACGATTTTGAACGAATTTTGAGAAGGAAGAGGAAGCAGCCAAAATTCAATCCACCTAGTTCTAGTTCTGAATCTGAATTTGAAGCTGAAATTGAAACGGAATTGGAAGAGGAACAAGACATAGTTGTTGACAATCAAACAATCAAGGAACTTTCAGCCTTGGGATTGGACAATGCCATTCCTCTTTGCATTCAATACCCTGTGGCAGTTCAAGGGAAAACTGATGAGTTTGAACTGAAGTCTAGTTTGCTGCATCACATTCCCAAATACCATGGGCTGTCCATGGAAGATCCGAACAAGAATCTTAAAGAATTTGAAGTAGTATGTTCGAGTATGACACCAATTAATGTGGATGGGAATATTTTGAATATGAAAGCCTTTCCATTCTCTCTTTTGGAAAATACTAAATATTGGTTATTTGAATTAGCACCTGGAATCGTCACTTCTTGGGAAAGCATGAAGAAAGCATTCTTAGAGAAATTCTTCCCAACTTTAAGAGTCATTCTTTTGAGAAAGAAAATTAGTGGAATTCAACAAGGCCCATGGGAATCCTCACCAGCTTATTAGCATTTCAAGACTTTAGTTGCATCTTGTCCACAACATCAAATGAAGGAGGAGCATTTAATTCAATATTTCTATGAGGGACCACTTCCACTTGAGAGACAAATGCTTGATGCTTCAACATGAGGTGCTTTAGTTGACAAAACCCCAGTTGTTGCAAAGATTTTAATAGTGAATCGAGCCTTGAATGCAGAACAATATGAAGGAGTTAGAGAAAGAGAACATGCACACCTAATCCAAGTCAATCAGGTAAATGCTATTTTAGAACTCTAATCTCAAATGGCTAGTCTCTCTACTTTTATATCACAGGTTGTTGAAGGATCCAAAAGTGCAAAGTGTAGCTGCATGTGGCGTGTGCTCTATGCAAGGACATCCTACCAATCAATGTCCTCAATTAATAGAGAATGGGGGATGGAAAGTGCCAATGCTATAGGTTATCAAGGCCAAAATCAACCAAGGAGTAACCCATTCTCCAACACTTACAATCCGGGCTGGAGAGATCATCCAAATATAAAGTGTAGGGAACCTCAACAAACTCAACAAGAAGGTGGATATAGACAGGTACCTCCAGGGCTCTATCAAAGGCCATTTGCACCACCACAGCCACCCCCACAACCTTCCCAACCAAATTTAGGTTCATTAATAGATTGTGATAAAATTCTTCAAGCACCAACTTCAGGGTTTACAAAATCAAGTCAAAGAGATGAGCGAAGTGAAGAATCAAATTAGGCAGATGGCATAATTCATGGGACAATTTAAAGAACAAGGCAAACTCCCTAGTTCAATCATTGTCAATCCAAATGGAGGTTTTGAAACTGCTAAGGCCATCACCTTGAGAAGTGGTAAAGAAATTGGAACCAATCCAAAAACGTCCAAACAAAGCCAAAAAGAGGACGAACAACTGTTGCCCGAAGAAGAAGTGGTGGACAAGGCCACGACAAGAGGAGAACAATCCTTGCCTCAGCCTTCTAAGGCTCTTATGCCACCCAATTTAGGTAAGGTCGGTTCGAATTCAATTCCTTCTAACCCTATTCCACCAAATGTGCCTTTCCCTCACAGGTTTATGCAATCTAAGAAAGAAGAGAATGAAAAAGACATCTTAGAAACCTTCAGGAAGGTACAAGTCAATATCTCGCTTCTTAATGCAATAAAGCAAGTTTCGATGTATGCTAAGTATTTGAAGAAGCTTTGTATAACAAAGAAACAGATATCGAAGAAGGAGGTGATACATGTAAGTGAAAATATCTCTGTAATTTTGCAAAGAAAGCTGCCACCCAAATGCAAAAGTCCAGGTAGTTTCACTATCCCTTGTGTTATTGGTAATACAAGGTTTGAACATGCTATGCTAGATTTAGGTGCTTCCATTAATGTCATGCCATATTCTGTTTATGCATTTATGAATCTAGGAGAGCTTAAAAATAATGGTGTCATTATTCAATTGGTTGATCGATCTAATATATATTCGAAAGGAGTTTTTGAAGATGTTTTGGTGCAGGTAGACCATTTGATTTTTCTAGCAGATTTTTAGGTGCTTGAGATGGAGGATTCAACCCACTTTACACCATTGCCAATCTTACTTGGAAGACCTTTCATGAAAACAGCCCAAACCAAGATTGATGTGTCCAAGGGAGCGTTAACTATGGAGTTTGATGGCGATATGATTAATTTTAATGTTTCTGAATTTTTTAAGTATCCTAATGATGTTCATTCTTGTTTTGCCATTAATGTGATTGAAAATATAGGGTAGGAACGTTCAGCAGCTATCATGAATGACGTATTTAGAACCACCATTGAAAAAGGCATTGGAGTGGATCACACGGGACAAGGGGTTGGCGTTTCTGGGTCAAATTTCCTCCCTTGGGTGGGCCTTTGTTTTGTTGACCTTGGATCTATGGTGGGGCTTGCCGTTCATTTCCATGACTATGACAGGGTTTCCTTTGGTTGTGGTTGCTAGAATTAGTCGTATGCGCTTCAGGCGGAGCGTTCGAGCCGGTGGGTCGAGCTTGATGATTCCTCATCAAAAATTGGTCTTGCTTTTCAAAGAGAAGTAAAACATATATCAAATCCAAAAATTTGGTGAACTTTTGTGCCCTATATTGGTGATGTGGGACAATATTGGTGGCATTGAAGGTTGAATAGGTCTTCTCCAAGAGATTTTGTTCGATTAAGTCTTTTTTACAGAACTTAAGTAGTGATTGGATTCTACAAGCTTCAGAGTTGTATTTATTCATAGATTTAAAGTCTTGGAAGTGTAAATGCTGCCAGTCGTGTCTTACTTCAAGCAAGTAAATGTCTTTCAAGTGATCGAAGCGATCGGCCAGAGCGAGCCAGAGGGTGCGTGGATTCTCCTTTGCAAGGTAGTCGGTCTGCAGTGCATCATGGATGTATATGTGGATGAAGATCATAGTAGTAGCTTTTGGAGCTTTGTCGATGGGTTCATCGTCGGTAGGTTCCTCAATAGTAGCTTTAAGACTATTTTCAGTAAGATGAAGCTTCACGTCTTATACTCACTCTAGGTAGTTTCTTCCAGAGACTTCCAAAGTGGTGAAATCAAGCTTGTTCAAGTTCGACATGTCCTTAAAATGGAGGGTACAACAAAATGTGGTTAGTCGTATGGAAAGCCATAGACATATATCGTAGAACATGCAGGTTCTATAAGCATGTGTCGGTTTAATTTAAGCATGAAAGCTACGAGTTTCATGTGGTAAGTTTTGAATGAAAATTGTGGGTTTCAAAGGCACTAAATTTGAAACTACAGACTCGATTTAGTTATGAACATTCATTTCATATATAGGAGTACCTGCAAGGACACAGAAGACAATATACAATAAAGCGTTGTGAATTTGTGGATTGCTTCAGGAACCCAAGTGTGAGTGCATCGGGATTACGAAAGATAATCCGGTTCAAAGAAACAAAATAATTTATTGAATCGTTAATTGCCAAAAAGTGAACTTTAGGCCAATAATTTTGGATTAATTATCAGATTAATGGACTGCTGGTCATTTTAATTAATTCAATAGATCGTAACCATTCAGGTTTGATCGTAGAAGCAAAAATAATAATAACATTCGGGTTAAAATTATAGAGAATGCCAAAAAATAGCATTAGATTAGCATAGCCCAATATCGGTGGGCTTGGGTGCTGTGTGCACGGCTAAGCCCTAAAAGGGTTTAGTGGGCCATGGGTTGGCTACGGAGTAGCCCAATCATGGTTGCAAGCCACGGGCCGGGGTTTTAGGATAGACCTAGCAGTGCAGGGGAACACGGGCCCAGCTCAGAAGCTAGCCAAGGGTGTGCGAGTGAAGCCCAACTGCAGACAAGCTTCGGTTTGGGCTTCGGTGCAAGAAGCCCAGCTAAAAGGCTGGCTTCGGATCGCAGGCTGAGGCTAGGACAAAGCCTAGTTGCAGGCGGGCCAGGTTGTGCGAAGCCCATCAAGGCTTTGAGGGCTTGCTGGTGGACTTAGGGCTTGAGGCCTGTATGAAGACCAACCCAGGCCGAGGCCACGTGTTATGCAGTAAACGACGCCGTCCTAGTGATTGTGTGGCTGCATGCCAGCCATGTTGGCTCTACGGTGAGGCGTGGAGTCGCGGCTCAATCCCAATTTATTGATTTTTTTTCGAATTATAGGGTTAAAAACCCCAATTGCTTCTAAATTAATTTCGATGCTCTGAGTCACAAATTCCACATAGCATAATTACGTATTGCATGAACAAATATATATATATATATATATATATATTGACAAAATATATGAACACATATGCAATATATATATATATATATATATATAATTGAAATGAAAATATAAATATTGGGGGTTCATGCATCATGGGAAATGTTTTCATACTTCAAGGTTGTTTCAAATATTTTAATTTATTTTAAAAGAACCTAATTGGAAAAAAAATAATTGAAAGCCTTTGATGCTGTAGAAGAAAGCCTCCTCCATGATCATTCAGTTCCTTAGCTTTCAGTAAGAGTGTGCTGATAACGTGTTGTAGGCCTAATTTACTGAAAGATAAAAGAGAGATGTAATTATGATGTGTAATTATGAGATGTGTGTTGTATCACCCAATTATATCTTTATTTATACTAGTAGGATTGGTTAAATCCTTAATAGGATTAACACTTTAATATGAATTTAACTACTAAAGGGAATATACAAATATACTTCTAGATATACTAGGATTTACACAATCACATTCTTAATCTAATACAATTGCAACAATTTTATAATTTTTTATATTTTGCCAAAAAAATATATTTGTATACTACTATGAATAAAAAATAAAAGAAAAAATATTTTTGTTGAAAAAAAAAGAAAAAATATTTTTATATTACTATAAATAAGAAATAAAAGAAATAACAGACGTTATAATTGGAACCGCGGCAACAGGAAAGTGAAAACGCAGATCCTAAACCCTAAACCCTTAGCCCTCTCCTCGCCGGCAGTCTCTGTCCCTCCATCTCCATCTGTCATCAACCTCCACCAACTCAGGCCTTGTTTCCCTTCATCTCTCTCGCTCATCGATCTCTGACCCTCATAGTTGCTACCGTCAAAGCCATCGCCGCCTCCACTGAAGCCCTTGCCGCTAAGATTCAGCCTCTACCACCACAGCACCCCGACCGAACCGATCGGAACTTCCCCTTCCGAGCCTATCACCAGGATTCCCAAGGCTAAAATAGGCAGTAGAGAAAGCCAAACAGCAGAATGAAGCTGGATGTGAACATGTTGAGATACCTCTGCAAAGATGATTTTAGGGTTCTAACTGCTGTGGAAATGGGGATGAGAAATGTAAATAAACCCCTCTACTTGTTTTTTCTTTTTCCCGAAATCGGTTTAATTTCTCAGCGTAACTATAGCTGATTGCTTAATTACGTATATCTGTTTGAATTTCTCTTGCAGCATGAAATTGTTCCCTGTGAACTGGTGGATCGCATTGCTTCGCTCAAGTATGTAACATGTATCTACTTTTTAATTTTTTTTTGTTGTTGAATTTGAATCATTATCTTTTATTTTTTGTAACTTTGATGATCTAATCGTTAAATTTATAGGCATGGGGGTACTTATAAGGTTCTCAAGAATCTGCTCAGGCATAAGCTCTTGCATCACGACTCATCTAAATGTAATGCACATGTTGTAATTGATTCAATCAATCAACAATAGTTTTGTTATGAAATTTATCTTATTATGTCTTTGCTGTTGTGTTCATGTGCACCCAGATGATGGGTTTCGCCTCACCTACCTTGGTTATGATTTTCTCGCAATTAAGACTCTGGTCAATCGCGGAGTCTTTGTGTCTGTTGGCCGTCAAATTGGCGTAGGAAAAGAGTCTGGTACGCTACTCTTTTGGTTTATATTACCAATTGAGACTGTGTCAATCGTGTAGTAATATATTCCATCATTGTAAACGAACTTATTTTTCTTTTCAAGATATCTTTGAGGTGGCCACAGAAGATGGTACGGTTATGGCAATGAAGTTGCACAGGCTTGGTAGGGTTTCTTTTAGGGCTGTAAAATCTAAGCGTGATTACTTAAAACATCGGAGCAGTTATAGTTGGCTCTACTTGTCCCGCCTTGCTGCACTAAAAGAGTTCGCTTTTATGAAGGTTAGTTGTCTATATCTTTTGGCATTTTTATCTTTTTGTGTTGCCCTATTGTGGGTTTATCATGTTGATTACGTGTATGGATGATTTTGCTCTGCTTGAACAGGCTTTAGAAGAGCATGGCTTTCCTGTTCCAAGTGCTGTGGATTGTAACAGGCATTGTGTGATTATGTCACTCGTACAAGGCTACCCACTGTAAGCTTCTCCTAAAAACTACTGGTTCAAATAATTGAATCATTTAGCATTGAAACTTCGTTTCTTTTGCCAAAAATAATAATAATTGAATGAGAAACCCTGGAAATAGCATGTTACACAATGAAATTACCAGACATAATGTGTTTCTTTACGTTTTTTTTGGAGCTGGCTTGCCTAAGAATAAAAAAGATTAGAAAATGAATGAGAATGGTAATGATCGTGCTGCTTCATGGAGGTATGGAATTCACTTCTGTCTTATAAAGTGTACAGGTGAAGCAGTTGCAGAACCCAGAGGTAGTCTTTGAAACAATCATTGGACTTGTTGTTCGCCTTGCAGAGCATGGTTTAATCCACTGTGACTTCAATGAATTTAACATTATGGTATGCATTTGAGGTAGTCTCTGGTAATTTAATTTTACAACACTGTTTCTCCTACTCCTGCTCTCACTTGGTACAGTTTTCCGATATGTTCTATCAGTATTTCAGTTAATATGTGCACTCCAAAGGCCTTATTATTTCTTATTTCAACTCATAGGTAAACTCGTAAATAATTTCCAATTTTCTGTTATTTTAGATTGATGATGACGAGAAGGTCACCATGATTGATTTTCCACAAATGGTATCTGTATCACATCATAATGCACAGATGTAAGATCTGCTTCTTAAAAATGGCAGTCATTTATTGTTGATTATCTAAGTTTTTGATTTGTTTACTTGCCCAAAAATTTTGTTTATCAGATACCATATTCTCATTTTATGAAATTCCCATGTTTCAGGTACTTTGACCGTGATGTTGAATGTGCCTTTAAGTTTTTTAGAAAGAGGTCAGTGTTCTTTTGTTTCAACTAGCAAGTTAGATGCAATTTCTTTTCACTTTCTGAATTTTTATATATAATCTTCAAGGTTGTGAAACCCCTGAACAGCATTTCTAGTTGGGTTGACAGAAGGAATGCATCCAGATGATATTTGGCACCATTTGCTTGATAACATTAGTTTAACAGCAACACACTGAACAATAACATATAGGTTATGTGCAACTGACAAACTGCTTATTTATTGCCTCCTCCGATTTCATTATTTTCTTTAAGATCATTAGTATACGGTGGTGTCTACTTACTTTTCATTTATCCACCTGAGGTTAGGGTATGTGTCAGTGGCATGTGAATAAAAAATGTTGGGGATAAATGTTCTGCCTAGTTTGTTAAGATTCTTTCTTTTTCTCAGGTTCAACATGAATTTTCGAGAGTGCAGAGATGATATCGATGGAACAGAGGTAGACACAGACGAAAGTGTGAGGCTTTGTTTTTCTTCCATAGCCAAGGATGCTGTTTTTCTGGACAAGGAACTTGCTGCCAGTGGGTTTACTAGGAAGGATCAGGAAGACATTGAGAAGGTATCATGTTGACGTGAAGCATGGTAGATTCATATACATTCTCAATTTGTATTTGTGGAGCCAGACACTCATATTGTTCTTGCAAGGAAGATGTTACACCCTTTTGGAAAAACTTTTCATTGGGTTATCGAGTGTATAGTCCACATCTGTGGTCACAATATACATTTCTATTTCTGATCAAGTTCATTTAACCAAAAATGCCTTTTCAGTCGTATGCAAGACATCTCTGAGTCCAATATCGTTCTATTTATTTTTGTTGTAATGTTCTCAATATTTTGTTGTTACATGCAGTTCATTGAAGGAAGTTTGGATAAGGATGCTAGTTCTGGTGATGAAGGTGCTGAAGATGGCACGGACGTATCTGTGCTAAATGAAGCGAACATAGAGGGTGTTGATTCATTGCATTTGGTAGATCAGGTACATTTTTCACTTGATGTTGATGTCATGAAGAAATGGAAGTGATCTGAGTCACAATCTGAGATCTTAAGTAATTCTCTATGTGCAAGATGAAAATTAGTGAAATCATAACTGATAGTGTATTTGCAGAGGAATATAGAAAGTTCTTGTGTTTGTATAACGAATTAATAATAACAAATCGGCTTGTGAAAATAACTCTGACTTGTATAATTGTATCTTACTAAGAGAGACATCCTTTATTTCGGTGGTCCTTATTTACTTGGAGATGCTTTCTTGCATCATGCATTGTAATTTCATACTTACACTTAGGTTTTTTTTTTTTTTTTTTAATCATTATTTTTAAGGAGGGGAGAAGGGTTTAAAACTATTATAATAATTTAGAGAGTTTTAGGGTGGGGGGGGGGGAGGTAGCTTTGAACCCTGGACGCATGGTAGAAACCCAACACACTATCAATTAGGATATTGGCCCACATGCTAATTACACTTTGTTATAATAATTCAGGATCAGACTTCAAATTTAAAGCAGGAAGAGGACAATCTAAGAAACTGTGAAGCAGGCCCGAGCAGTAAACCTGAATGTGAAGATGTGAGTGACAAGGTAAGTCTTGAAATTGTACTTCCTACATGGAATTGAAGTTAGGATTATTTAGGCCTTGTAGTGTACGGTCAATCATGGCCTGGCAGATATTAGGTAACTTATATTTACAACGTCATGGGTTCATAGCTTGTGGATCCATACCTTAATGCAGCTGCAATAGGCTAATAGCAGTTGTCTTTCCTTGTGCTACTTATCAACTAAGTCAAGATTGTTGAAGTTTATTGTTTTGTTAATGAAATCAGTTTTGCTTAATTAAAGTTAAATGTAATTAGTGAAAGTGCATATAAACTGAGATGTAATTGTCCTTCAATCCAATGAGAAATCAGTTTCTTTTACATTACACTGTAATGATATGGAAAAGCACTCTGAATAGTTTTGTTTCCGCAGGAGGGAGATAATGACACTGAAAAGGACAATGATGCGGAGCTGGTAAAGCGCTTGAACAAGCAGAGACGACGTGCCATGTCAGCAGCCCGTGGGCGACGGAAGACTCTTTCCTCCAGAAATACCTACAAAGATAAGGGCGGCAGATCCTCTACCAGTTGCAAAATTCAGCATCAATTAAGCAGCTGGTAGAATATGTGAAGTCCCACCTCAAAATCCAATCCTTGGTATCTATAAGTTCCAAGTCTGGGCTTGTTTGGTATTTTATTGAATCAGAGAGTTTTATCTAAGTATCGGGTATTTAAGCGGTATTTTACATGTCATAATACACGTGGAGGAAATGTTATAAATACTCTTTAGCTTCAAAAACAAAAAATGAGATCCAAAAAGTGCTACCATCTTTCTTATAATATAAGAAATCCGCAACCCTAACCCGTCTTTAACCTCAAAGACTTCACCAGATTGTGGAAAACTTGACTTCTTTTCTTTCTTTTATGGTTCATTTAATTATAATGGTTTAGCCGACTCTATCTCTACGGCTTGACCTAATTATTATGATAAATAGAATAAATGATCCCTCCACTCTATGGCTTGATAAAGTAGATTAAATGATTTCTTTTGATAGATGGATGTGGACACATAATAAAACCAAAGTAGATAGATTTAATCAAATTTATCTAACAGTAGTAAGCGAGATGATGAGCATCACAACTACTTAAGGTTAAGATTGGTGGGCAAATACATATGACAGCTTTATTGTAACGTAAACTGACAATCATGTCTATGCATTTTGATAGCGCGAAAAAATATTTTCGTGTAAACACACAATTGGAGGAAAGAAACGCACGCGCGCAAACACCAGTTTTTTCAAGTGAAAAACCAAGCCCCCGCCAACTTTCTCTCTCTTCCGCCGATCCAGATCGCCATGTACTTTTCTAAAAGCCCAAATCCAATAAAGCGCATATAATTACACGTTTCTGTCAACTCTCCTTTCTCCGACCTCCGACCACTCCCTCCCCGCATGCCACCGAACAACGCTTTCAAACGCCGGTGGCTCACCGCTCCTCGCATTTGCAGCGATTGGGTCGTCTGATCCATTTGACCCGTTTCACAAAACTGCGTCGTTTTTTTCTAGAGAAGAGGAAGAAGGAGAGATGTGGGTCTTCTACCTGATCTCTCTGCCCCTGACCTTGGGCATGGTTCTTTTCACGCTCAAGTACTTCGCCGGCCCGGAGGTCCCTCGCTATGTTATGATCACCGTCGGGTACACCTGGTTCTGTTCTCTCTCCATCATCGTCATTGTGCCCGCCGACATCTGGACGGTACTTTTTCCATGACGTCGTTTCTTTCAGTTTATGGCTGTTTGAAGTCGATTCCATTATTAGGATTTTTCATATTTCTGAATTTTGAGGTGTTTCATTCAATTGGATGCATTTTTTTGAAACTTTTTCAGCTGGTTGTTTATACATTTCTCTGCAGCTCAGTTTAGCTCGCCTAACTTTTTTGGGATTTCTGTTTCTTTTCTGTAATAATGCAGAAGCCTTTTGTTGTCAATTTCGGAGGGCTGATTTTGTTTTCAGCTAAAGCATTTTGTTTTTCGGTTTCGAATATTTGAAATGATGTAAAGTTAGTTCATTGACTTACCCAATTGCATTTTTGTCATTCAGGACTATCTGTTACTTTATCTACTGGTTCAAGTAATTATTTTGGCTATGCAACGATTGGTGGTTTCACGAATGTTCCTGATTGTTTTATTACATTTGCAGACGATAAACCATATTGAGAGTGGAGGAATATCTTTCTTTTGGAGCTGGTCATATTGGAGTACATTTTTACTAACTTGGTACGGAACATGGAAATTCATCGACTCTTTTAGTTGCCCCTTTTGTATATACTTGAGTAGCCTAAGGTTCAAAATTCCAGTTAGAATATTATCTGGCTGTTACTACTCTCTATCTCTACCTTGGTGATTAACATTACTGTCAAGTATCTCATATTGTGAGCTATTGGACATGCGTATAATCCAAGCAATTGCTAACAATATTTTGGTTGAATAAGCTCCATCAAATGACTTTTCTGTGTTTGTGACCTTTTACTCAATGTTTATATGTTCTGTTCTCTCTGTCCTGTTTTTCGTTTTCGCTTTTCCAGAAGATTAATTTTTGGTACGAAATAGAAATCTTAGGAACATTCTACCTTATTGTTGAGTTTCTTTTAATGAACTGTTAGTTCTGCGCCATTTCTAATTTTAATCTTTGCAGTCATGATTATATGATTATCTGCCCTTTCAAGTTGCCTTTGATTGGATAAATAATAGCATTATGTATATATAAATGGGTTTATAGCTAACTTGTAAATTTCCTCATATTTCTAAGTTATCTCTAAGCAGGACTTTGGTGCCCCTTATTCAGGGTTTTGAAGATGCTGGGGACTTCACCGTGACAGAGAGATTGAAGACTAGTGTACATGTTAACTTGGTTTTCTATCTGATTCTGGGGTTTATTGGTCTTCTTGGATTAATTCTTCTCATCAGTATGCACAAAAACTGGTTTGATCCTTGTCCTCCAAATTTGATTTATATCCATGTCGATAGTAACTTCTTCTTAGGTTTTTCCTATAGACATTAAATAAGTTGTAAATTCTTATTTCAAATGGCCCTGCTCCCCATTTATGCGATAAATACTAAATTATTGCTCTATCTGTTTCTTTTGTGTTCTGAAATGATTTAAGGAAACATCGAAGAACTTTCGATTTTTTAGGTTGTTGATTAATATCAAGATGTTGAACGTAGTTTATAATTGACAGAAAGAGCAATTAGATACAGTAGCAGTTTATTTAAGAACAGTAGAACACACATTAGAGTTTCACATCCAAGACATGTCTATGTAATTTTCTCTTTCCCAAAAACCTATGAAATAATCATTTCTGCTACAATAGATGATTGGGCTGGATAACATTGAAGTTAAAAAAGAGTAAGTACCTTGTAACTCGAGTGTGGGCACTAAGGTGGTAGGACAATGGTTCGACTCATTTGGCAGGGCTTGCTGTTGTATTTTACTGGCTGGCCCCCTTCCAAGTTAAGTTGGGTCATAAAAAGTATGTAGTGCAAACTAGATGTAAAAATTTGCTCAAGTAGAGAAGGCTATAAGGAGTAGATAGAAGATAATGTCGCAGCCAGTATAACAGGGCTCATTTTTTTCTTTATGATTTTCCTTGGCTATTTGAGCTGTCCTATACCTTCCTCATTTCTTTCCATTTTTTCCCCTTTTTTTGCTTAATTAACAGGGGTGGAGGTGTTCTTGGTTTTGCCATGGGCTGCTCGAATACTTTTGGACTTGTTACAGGTGCATTTCTTCTTGGATTTGGTTTGAGCGAAATCCCAAAGGGCCTTTGGAAAAATTCTGATTGGACTATCCGCCAAAAAGTTCTATCTCATAAAATTGCCAAAATGGCTGTGAAACTTGACGACGCTCATCAAGATCTTTCAAATGCTATTGTGGTAACTCTCAGTTGTTAATGCAAAGACTTCTGTGTTTTCTTTTGCTCTCTGCTCTCTTTTTCCTTGTCAGAAAACTACACCATGCTATATTTATCAACATTTTCGGGTTGTTTAAATTTGTTTTAATACATAAAAGTTGATTTTTCAGCATGTTTGTCTGAAATTCTGAGTTGTTATTGTTGTTCATTTACCTTTCTGTAACTTGTACCTATGTACAAATTACAGGTGGACATTTTTCCAGTGAGCTGTCAAATTCGATTGGACGGCCTTACCAGATTGGCCCGGTTTTCTTTTCTTATTCTGATTGAATTAAGTGAATACCTATTCAACCTGATAGATCCAGTTCTGTGTTGTTTTAAATGATTAACCCTAAATACGAACTCAACCCAATTTGAATAATACAGTATTGAAATTTGTGTTGCTCGCATTCAGTTGATATTTGAACCAGTCTTGTGTTAAACCAAATGTACCAACGCCTGTACTAAACCTGGTTTTCAGATAATATTAATTATATTATACTTAAACTTTATTCATTTACTTCTAATAAATATATTGACTAAATAACAAATCATATTTTGGAATTGCTTCCATAGCTGACTTGGCCGAGTGCATGATTTTTCATTTTTCCTAGCAGAAGACTGTTACACTGTAACTTTGTTCATGCTCGAACCTTCCCTTTTCCGAACTGTACGCTTCCTCTCCTGTGGTATCTCTCTCCTTTATCTGTTAGAAACTGAAGACTCACTTTTTTTTCTTTATCAAAGTCATGGATATCTCTCAAGGGCTCACAGTTCTAGCAGCTTATGTTGACCACGCATTTGATCTCAGACCTACTTTGGTGTTTATATTCTAATTTTGTCTAATGCTGAGAGTCAATCTCAGCTTTTTTTGTGCAAGCTCAATAGAATGTTTCATGTCTGTTCAGCTGTCTTAACCTAAGAGCTTTTTATGCTTTTATTATTCTCAATGAAATCTTTACCTTTGTAAAGATTCTAGTAGAGAACTTTCAAGGATTACATATGTTCATATACACAAAAGGGGTTGGGGGTAGGGAGGAATGGAGTATGGTCCCCAACATGTGATCTCATATTCCCAGGTTGGGGGTAGGGAGGAATGGAGTATGGTCCCCAACATGTGATCTCATATTCCCAACATATGTTGTATCTATGACAATGGGGAAATGCATGCAAGACTGTTAAGTTAATGTATTTGTGGGAAAAGAAGTTACATTATTTGCCTTGTTTCCTTTTTGGCTGTGTGTGTTTGGTTACTCCCTTCAGAAATGTTGTAATTTTCTGATCTTTGCCTTTGTGAGAAATTCATGTCTCATGTTTCCCTAAAAGTTGAAAGTTCTTCAAAGTTTTTAACCCCCTTTGTCTTCTTGGCATGAACTATGCTTTCCAGTTTTCACTGTAGTGTTGTAACTTGTATCTTTGTAGTTTCTCACAGTATGATTGTACTTCTATATAACTTTGATTTGATATTACTTTTCTCTAAACTTAATGGTTTGCTCATTAGGTTGCCCAAGCAACATCCACTCAGATGTCCAAGCGCGATCCTTTGAGACCCTACATGGATATTATAGACAACATGTTAGCTCAAATGGTATTTATTTACTTATTTACACAATTGAAAAGAAACGAAATTGATCCTCACTTTTTCTGTAATTTTTCTCTTTGTAATATTTTTCCCTCCCTTACCAGTTCAGGGAGGACCCATCCTTCAAACCGCAAGGTGGCCGATTAGGTGAAAACGACATGGACTATGATACTGATGAAAAATCAATGGCAACGCTTAGGCGTCATCTTCGAGGAGCCCGGGAAGAGTATTATCGGTACAAAAGGTAAACCACTTTGCTGAATACATGTCTGTATGTTCGTCATCTTCATCTGCAAGCTATTCACTTAGTTTTTTTTGCATTTGTTTGTGAGTAAATCAATGTTTATTCAGGCTGTAAATGTTCTAGATAATCCTTAGTGATCAGGAACTACATAGGTTGCAAATTTCTTGTAGATGGCTGTCTTGCTGCTTGTAAAACAATCTTATGATATGTGCTCCTTTTAGTTGATCTTTGTTGTAGTTTTCATTCTGAAAAAATATTACTTTTAGAAAGCATTCTTACGTGTCAATGTTTTTGCACATATTGAATTAGAATTTACCTTTCTGCTTAATAATGGAAAAACTTATTCGTTGGAATTGTATGTTTAATTCAGTCTATGCAGTCTATGCAGTAATGCATTATCAATCAGGTTGCTGATATGTGAATAAGTTTGTTGTCCTGTAATTTTTCCTTTCTAGTGTTGCTTTGCTTTAGTGTTGCCATGCTCACCTTTTGTATTATAAATCAAGATATAACTGAAGGTTTGTGTACTGTTTTCTACTGGATGCATGCTGATGGAATAGGCATATATAAATGCTAAGTACTGGTGTATGATGTATTTAATAATAATGTGGGATTCAAGTTTTTATTATGAATTTAGGATCCAGAGTCAACTACTATTTTCACCTTCCGATTCAGTATTCTACTGGATTTGTAATTATAATAGTTAGGTTCATTTTATCTAAAATTTGCCACTAGTTTTGCAGCGAGTATATGACTTATGTTTTGGAGGCCCTTGAACTTGAAGATACTATAAAAAATTATGAACGCCGGAGTTCTACTGGATGGTATGCCTCTGATCCTGCTTTCTCTATTCTTATTCCATCGTTACATGTATGCTACAAACGCGCACCAACTTGCACACACTTGTATAGATATGGGGTAATGTTCTCATCCCAAATATCTTAAATGTTATGTTGCTAAAGTGTCAATATTTGATCACATATGCAAACAAGAATCCGTTTGATTATTGGTGCAGAGTAACAATCAGACAGCATAAGATGTTAGACTGACTGGAAAGAATATATGCATATATACACACACACATAAATTGGATCGCTGAAAAAACTTACAGAATGATTACTATCTCAAATATGAGGGATCCCTCAATGGAAGGGGAAGGATCCGTGACACCACTTTTTTTACACAGCTTTTAGAATATTAAAAGTGGTGCCACGGATCTGCCCCCATATATAAAATATAATTATGTTATATTGATATAAGTTCTTGACTATTAATCGAAAGAAAAAGAATTCTTGACCTTACAAGTACATGCTACCATTTCAGGAAATATGTCTCAAGCTTCAGACATACTCGAACTGGCACATTAGGATCTCCTGTTGATACAATAGGTAACATTCAGATCAATAAATTCCTTTCTACATTAAATTTTAAGTACTTGGCACGGCTGAGTTATGAATTCCATCTTTTGTTAAGTTGCATGTAGGGTCTTGTATATGCTTTAATGTAAATAGGATACATACATGTGAAGACAGAACTTTATATTGTCTTATCTTGGCTATAGAAATACATTCTTGATAAACCCACTATATATAGTCTTACTTTATTTTCATGCATCTTTCCACCATAAAGCTTCTCAGAGTATCTCCAAGGGAGTATACAAACCAAGTTGGCAAAATTGTACTATACGAACCAATGTGGCATGTTGCCTACCCATTGGTCTCATAAAACAAAACGGGTCACTCCATGGGACTAGGCAAACCAAGTTAGCAAAATTGTATTATATTGTTAAAATTTTTTTTTTTTGAACCAAAAAAGATGTAAATGGTAAAACTTGTGGAATGATTACTACAAGGTGTCCCTCAAATAAAGTTATTTGCCTGCTCATATGCCTACGCATTTGTATACTCCGTCGGAGATGCTCTTAAGCCTCAATATTATATTTTGGTAATGGAACATAAAATTAATGTAAATGAAGCTTTATCTTGTTTGAATATTAAAAAGTCAATCTCTAAACTGAAATCAAGATTAATTCTGTCCCTTTTGCAGAATTCTTATGGCGCTGCATACTAAGAAAAGAAGTTGAGAAACTTTTGGCTGTCATACTTGGTATCATTTCAGTTGCTATTCTTTTAGCGGAGGCAACTCTTCTTCCTCGAGTTGATCTATCTCTCTTTTCAATTCTCATCAATTCTGTTGGAAAGCAAGAGGTTCTTGTACAGGTGGGTGATATGTATTTTAGTAAGTTGTAGTCTTTTTGTTCTGTCAAATTTTGAAGGTCAATATTCCTCGCCCAGGTTTCATTGCTGGACATAGTGTTTAAAAGGAAAAATTGAACGAAGCTAGTTGCATGTGTTCATTGGACTAGTATGAATCCACATCTTTGTGACAAGTTGCACATAGAAATGATTAGAAGTGAATTGACCTTCTTATATAACGTGTCTGGTCTTCTTATTTGAAGGAATGCTGTTTCTTTTTATTACTCTACCGCTCACTGATGTAAATTTGTTTAATCAACTATTTCCCAGGTATTTGCCTTTGTTCCTTTGCTGTATATGTGCATCTGCACATACTACTCCTTGTTCAAAATTGGTATGTTGATGTTTTACTCATTAACACCCAGGCAAACAAACTCAGTCAATTTGCTTATGATATGCTCGTAAGTTTTGATCTTAACTCTAGTTTTACGACTTGAAGGTCTTACTCATCTTTTGTTAAAGCAGTACTCACATTCCATTTTCATCATATCTTCCAGGATGGTTGCTCGTTATGCTCCTCCAGTTTCATACAATTTCCTTAATCTCATTCGTCTTGGTGAACATAAGACCATATTTGAGAAGGTATTCTCTCATCCATCTCATCTGTTCCTCTCTTACTTTTCATCCTTTCCATTTATAGTTATAAGGGTTTCTTGCTGCAAAGCCAATTTAAAAGCTTTCAAACTTTTGTCATGATTTTAATTTAAATCTAAATACTCTTGGGCAACTGCAAGTCTAACAAAAATAAAAATAAAAATCTTTGGTACCTTGTGTATTTGTTTTTTTTGTAAGTGATGTCCCCTTTTCTAAACATAATAACATTCATGGGTAATATCATTTTTCCCTGGTTGGGTCTTATGTTTTCAAAACTCTTCTTGATTGATGTCATAGTTTTCTCACATTTGTAAATTGTTGACCAAAAAAAATGGATTTTTCATCAATTGTAAATTCACTTTTAAACATTACCATAAATTTCCCGTGTAGTTTTGGGTTCAGCATTAGTTATATTAGATTTTGGCTTGTTTGTATAACTGTTGAACTACCCTTCCTTTAGTTGATAACTGACTACTTTTCCATTGTATTTGGGGATATTTTATGGCAGCGAATGGGAAACATTGATCAAGCTGTCCCTTTCTTTGGGAGTGAGTTTAACAGAATTTATCCACTTATCATGGTTGTGTACACCCTGTTGGTTGCGTGCAATTTTTTTGACCGCATACTTGATTTTTTTGGGAGCTGGAAGCGATTTAGGTTTCAAACCGAGGCTGATGATATGGATGGTTTTGATCCATCTGGATTAATTATCTTACAAAAGGGTAAGCTTATGCCATGATCTGCTCTTCTTGCAAGGCATAAACTACTATTCACTTGGGCAGGCCATCTGTGAATTTAGCATATTTTTTCTCTTTTTGGTTAAAAATTTCCGTATCTGTTGTGAGTGACTAATTAACTTGTTCTCATTTCCTCAGAACGATCTTGGATTGAACAAGGTCTGAAAGTTGGTGAACATGTTATACCCCTAGCTAGGAATTTCAACAGCACGGATGTTGAGACAGGCAGCAACAACATGGTACATTAATAGTTAGCATGCAAGATGTTTGGATTTACTGAGTAAATTATTTGGCATACTGTAGCTATCCTAATATGTGATTTCTTTTCCGGGTTCATATTATCCTTTTTCTTCTTCACGCTTATAGTTCGTTTCCCAACTTCAAATGTTGAATTTTCAGGATAGGACTCATGTTGAACTGAAGGCAACAACCAGTCTGGGCACTGAGGGTGCAAACGGAACTGCCTCAAAATCCTTGAGTGATGAATCTCGTATTAGATATGGCTCAAGCAAAGAAGCCAACAGCAACAAGTATGCTGCCATTAGAGATCAGAGCAGGCAATCATCTTCGAATACAAATCAGAATATTTCTGCCGCCAAGGTCTCCTTGCGTGACGAAGGCAACTCTAACCCTGATAGCATGGCAGGAGGGTTACATACTGGTTTGTCCTCAAAGTGGGAATCAATGAAAAACGGTTTCCAAAATTTCAAGGCAAACATAGCGGCCAAAAAATTTATTCCCCTGCACCAAGTTCAAGATACTGTAGAGCTATCTCGTGCTTCATCTAATGAGTCCCTCGATGAGATATTCCAGAGATTGAAACGGCGGTCGGTAGACCATGTGAGTTATGTTGACGAGGATGAAGATGGCATGGAGGGGAAGTCTGGTCCCAGCAGATAATATTTATGATCTGTTCTAGGTAATGAACTTTACACTTTTGGAATTGGGAATTATAAAAGCCCAACGCTGCGATTTTGCCTGCGAAGATTAGTCCGGCCTGGGAGGATATTTTGCGATGCTGAAACTACATACATTTAGCAGCTGCTAGTCGGAAGACTCGAACAATTTGACAGGTAAAATAGGAATACTTCAGTGATCTGTAAAAAAAAAAAAAGAAAGAAATGCCAGTGTTGGGGAATGCTTGTATTTCAATTATACGTGTAATTGTAAAAAAATGTCACCATTTGTTTCTCCACTGCCAACGCCTTGGAGCCGATTAGTATTCATCAGAAATGCACTTTCTTTTGATATGCAGTGCAATATTTCGAACACTAGTTACAATTTTGCATTTTCCATATGACAGTATTTACATTTTCATTACAGTAGGAGCGTACACATCAAATTTATTCACCAAATAATGTGTCTGCTCCGATGCCTTTATATTCTTTATAGCATTTATTAAGAAGCAAGTAATCATGCCAAAATGTAAAAATTCAAGATGTGTTGGCTGACACCTGGAAGGTAACGAAGCCATAAATTGTAGTGATGTGGAAAATGTGAATAAATTTAAACCTAAAAGTACCTAAAGACAAGAGTGCGCTGTGAGCGGGAATAAATCCATTTCACACGCGACGTCAGAGCATAAGGACAATAGTGTGGGTAAGGATCATACCCTTAGAGGTAGCCACCTAGACTGAGATTTGCCAAGAATCCTCGTTGATACGAACCTTCAACAGCTAAAACCTGGAAGGGTGCAAAAACAAGGGTAAGTGAGCCCGAAAATAGAGTTTTTAATGAAAACCTTTTGAAAATGTTATAACCCCTCGCAGTAAAACCCGTATAATTTTCTAGAACATAATAATCCATATGTATATAGAAATCATGCTCGAGAGTAGTGAAAACCGAGTATATGCCATGTCAAGTATCTCAGTAATAAAATAAGTAAGGCAGGTGAAATAAATCAATGTAAAATGATATGCTAGCCAGAGTCACCTAACGTGACCTATACGGCTGAACCTATAGCTCATTAACCAATTCCTGCACACTAGTCGGAACCACCTAATGTGGTATGTACGACAGGGCTGGGTGTAAATAGGTACGCTCAAGTGAAGGCTGCACGAATAGTCGCGGGTCACCTACGAGTCGGAACCACCTAATGTGGTCTGTACGATAGGGCTGCGCACCAAACTTGGATCCAAGGTGAGCGTGCGGTGCGGGAGGTGAACATCACGTGAAGGATTGTGTCCTGGCTATGGGCGGAAGCACTAACACTGAGGTGCAGAATAATGAGCTCTACATGCCTCTGCATATAACCATAACCAATGCAACCACTAACATCATACAGTACTCACCTAAAACATACCTAACCTCCACAGCGTCATACAATAGTATGCATATAATAGAATGAAATGCAAGCATGACATGGCATTTAAAAGAATACGCTCGTTTCAAAATAGTTTCTGGGAAAATGTAAAGCATATATACATACATATATATATATAGAAAACCAAAAGCCCACTCACCTGGAGTCCGCGCTATAACTCCCTAGCACAAATATCAAGGCGTCACAAACGATCGGCACCTAGAACAATTATCAAATAATGTCTTGGAATTCTTATCAATAGAACATATAACTTACATATCCTATTTGGAAAGATTTGTACAGCGGATTCCCGATCTGTAAGTTTCTAATATTCTCAAATATTATGTATTATAACATATTAAAGTTTGGTGACGATCTAACGGTCGGATCATTGATTGCTATAATAATCAGGCAGCGGACTTTAATGGAACTACGTTCAAATGACGGAAATTCGTCAATCGGACTTCACCAATGGAATCAGGATATTCAAATTTAGCCTAGGAAGGTCAGGGGATGCCTCGTCCTACGCGTCGTTGGACACGTTGCCGCACGTGGCGATCGGCAGCCTCGACTCGTCGGAAAATTCAACTATTTCTAAAAATTCTCAAACTTCACGGAAATGATGATCTCAATGAGTAGAGCAACTTTCATACCTGCGACCAAGGCCAATTTAGCCGGAAAAAGCCCCAATTTCACGAAAACCCGTCGACACCCTAGAAATAGGTGGTTCTTGATTCGACTCCAAACAAGCTTCGACGCCTCAACCAATGCATGGGCTTTGTTTCTGGGTTCATGGAGAGTTTATTAGTGATGTTAATTGAATCGAAACATTTTAGGTTTGCTGGATCTCGGCTTAGGGTCCTCACGGCACCCATTGTTCCCGTCTGGATGTTTTCCCCAAAATACAACCAAATTCATTATAATTTTAGGTGAAAAAGGAAGAGGGAGGGTAGTGGAATGTTTTCTAGGCGATGGATAGCGGCGATTCGCCGGAAAAATTGCCTGAAAAGGTGTCGGAAGGTGTGGAGGAGCCGAGTTGGGTACGGGTCAAGGGGATCCCGATGGGTTCCTCTCCTTCTCCAATTCTCTCATTTCTCTCCTTTCTCTCCTCATCCATTGGTCACCCTCTTCTCTCTCTTCTTCTGAATGGGCATCCTGCCCCTCCTTTCTCTCCTTTATCTCTCATCTCCACCGCCCATCTTTTCTTCCTTTTAATATGGGTCACACACGTGGCTTTCCAGATTTTGCTCTAAAAATCTGGAGCTTTCTTGAACTTTATTAATTTACTAGAATGCCCCCAACTTAAAACGTTAATATCTCTTTCGTTATAACTCCAAATTGCACTCCGTTTGCGCCCATGCGTCCATAACGATGAGTACTACGAGGATACACTAAGAAAATGAATCTTACATAACTCGACAAGGCGGTCAACAAAAGTCAATGCATTTACCTTGAAGGGCATTTTTGAAATTTCACATTTAAAAATTATAAAACTGTAACTTTTGGGGACAGGTCGTTACATTTAATGCTTAACAAAATTCATAATTGTTGTAGGTAATAATAAAATTCAATAACATAATTAGGGTATTGTCATTGTGGCATAAGTTGTAAATAATTTATAATAATAGGTTACTTATTTCCCACATTCAACAAGTTTAAATTTTAGGTTTTATTTGAATGTTGAAAGAAAGATGGGTTTAAGTTTAGGAAACAATAGTTACAAGGGCTGCATCCTAAGGCTATCTCTAACCGAAGGAGGGCCAGAAGGCTCATTTTAGCCTTATAGTCCTCTAAGAAATTAATATTTTAATGAACATTGCCAGGCCATATTTCTTACCATCTTCAACCGAGGGGCCAAAGGGACATAGGCCAAACATAGCCCTATGACAAAAAACCATCTCCAATCGAGGGGGCCAAAGGGCCATAGGCCAAATATAATTTATTATTTTAATTGAATTAATATGGTTACTTGAATTAAACTACCTCAATAATTTTTCGAGATGAAATTTCAATAATTTTACGTCTAGGATTTCGAGTGTCACGTGTCGATATGTGAGTAACTTTGCAGATTTCTTGTTGATAAGGAATCTCAATAATTTTACATCTCGGATTTCGAGTGCCACATGTCGATATGTGAGTAACTCTCCAGATTTCTTGTCAATATGTAATCTCAATAATTTTTTGGATAGGATTTCGAGTGCCATATGTTGAGATGTAATTGGCTGTGGGAATTTTAGATAGGATTTTTATCTGCGTGGCATTTCTTATCTTTAGCTTCCAATGTCTACAAATAAGGTGGATATTAGCTTATAATTCACATACCTTCAGCTTTGCCCTCTCCAATATCTCTTTCAATTCAATTTTGCAATGAATTCCAACTTTGGATCCTCTTCAGATTCCAATTGGGGGTCTTCATCCAATTCCGAACTGGAACTAGAAGATAAATGGGCGCAGATGAGATGAGACAAGAAGATGAAGAGTCCGATGAAGAAGATAAAGCGTGGTGCAATGCATCATATATAGCAACCATGGTGTTTAAGTTTTATGTTGTTAAATGTTTATTTATTTATTTTTAATGTTGTTTAAGTTTCATTGTGACAGCCCGTCCCGGATTTTTCGTACCGTAGGGATAAAATGACAGTTTTGCCCCTAGTGTGTTGTTTCATTGTGTGGTCATTTTGGGGATTTTGGGGGTTTTGGTTGGCTGTTTTGGACCACACACACACACCCACACTCACCCTCATCCTTTCCCTGTCCCGTATCCTTGTCTCTCTCTTTCTCTCTCTCTCTCTCTCTCTCTCTCTCTCTCTCTCTTTTCTTCACCATACGTACAGACAAGACCCATTGTGCTCGAAAACATCACGGATCGAGGAAGAAAACTACATATTTGTGCTTGTGAAGTCCTTAGGAGTTCAACCATACCCATTTCAGGTAAGGGAACCTTCATTTTCATGTCGAACCCGAGATGCTCAATTCCGGGTACTGTTCATGCACATGTAAATTCATGTGTTTTTGAGAATTTCAAGCTTGTAAGAAGCTTGGTGAAATGAAATGAAATGAAATGTTTATATGTTTTAAATAACTGACACACCCCGATCGAGATCAGGGTATGCTGGCCGTCACGTGAAGGTGACGTAACCATGTGCACAGTGCGAAAGCTAAGAATAATAATAAAAGTACGAATAAATAAAAACCAAGCTATACACTACGTAAATCACATACATGTGCAAGCGTAAGTGTGAAAAACAATATTCAGAGCACGAAAGACCTAGTACAGTCCGGGAGAAACAACACTAAATAAACACACCCAAAGGTGGTCCTACACTGGTGATAATCTGTTAAATATGCCGTGAATCCCTCGAGAGCCACCAACAGAGCTATCCAAACTAGAACCTGGAGGGGTGCAAAACAGAAAGCGTGAGTGGGCAAAACAAAGCTTTTCAAAATCATTTCAATAACAAAGTTCTAACCCCTCGCCGTAAAACCTGTATACTTCCCAGAAAAAATAGAATATATACACATATATAGAAAACATGCTCAGAAATGTGCCATGTCGAATGCCTCTGAATAAAATGCAAGTACTCAGGTAATGTCAATCAATTCCATGTAATCTGTCAGCCGGAGTCACCTAACGTGACCTGTACGGTTGAATCTAGAGCTCAAATCCACAACTCACTAACTATACCTGCACACGAGTCGGAACCACCTAAAGTAGTCTATACGACAGGACTGGGTGTAAATAAATACGCTCAAGTGCTACGATCACGTGAAGACTGGGTGAATAATCGCGAGTCACCTACGAGTCGGAACCACCTATAGTGGTCTGTACGATAGGACTGTGCACCTAACTTGGATCCAAGATGAGCGTGTGGTGCGGGAGGTGAACTGTTGGAAATGTGCCCTAAAACCAATCATATGATGATACTTTATGGACATTTCACATGTTAAACTAATCTAGTTTAATATTAAGGG